AGGCCATCCCTATTAGGTTGGAGGCCATCGCTAGTAGGTTGGAGGCCATTGCTACTAGGCTGGAGGCCATCGCTATTAGGTTGGAGGCCATTGCTAGTAGTTAGCTACTGGGTGAGCACTAAGCATTTGACTTCAGTTTCATTGGCTTTTCTTATATATATATATCACTGTCGTAGTATTTTCCGTCTCAAGCCATGGGAAAAGGCAAGAGAAAGGGGAAGAATAAAGGCAAAGGCAATTCTCCTCCTGGGAAGAATCCTGCAAAAGACAATGACGAGAAGCCTCCTCCTGATGAGGAAATGAAAGCTCATGAAGTCGATGAAATGAAGAAGAAGAGAGTGAGCTTTGCAGTACTCAAGGAGAAGTTGAAGCTGAAGATGATGAATAAAGATAAGGCTAATGTTGACAAGAAACGCCCTGTAGATAAGGGAGACAAGGAAGAGGAGCCTTCACTCAAACGGAGGATTGAATTACCTTCGGTGGAAGCTTCGGTTCAACCATTATATGGATTGCAACCCCTTGTCCTATCTGATGATCAAGCTCTTGCAGTATCTTGCATTAGAGCAAAGGCTCTTCTCATGTCAGGAGTGCGACTCAAGCATCTTCAACAATCTCCGATTGTAACGGTGCTTCTTGACAGCATGACTGTGAGTTGCCTCCGTGCACGCTGGATGCACTTGAAAGCGGACTTTCATCACTTTGGTCCTACAGTTGAGCAATCTTCTGTCTATTCCGAAGTGATTGATCAGTTGTCGATCATGAGGCTTTCCAACGCCTCAACTGTTCGCACCGAATGCATCGGCGTGTGCGAAACGCACTCTGGGGACAGGTTGTATACGGTATCAGTGCCGTTTTGTTGTCCAGAGCAGCGTGGCAGTGAGAGAGCAAAACAATTGATCTGGAAGCAGGGTGATGATACTGATGCCTTCACGAACAGATGGATTCTTACGGATGGCAATGAAAATCGATCGATGTTGAGGTATATGGGCACACAAGTACATTCAGCTTTTGCAAGCTTTGTTTTGATGGCCCTCTCACATCAGATGCCGTGGGACACCATGATTGAATGTCTCTCGAAATATTATTTCGAGAAGTCCACCACGGAACCCGCTCATCCTGATCGAAAGACAGTGAAATACAACTACCGTGGAGATCTCAGTCGGTGGTTGGTTGGGTTGAAGGAATGTTATGAAGACTTCCTCTCCCATCGCACGATTGGGCAACAGGAGATGCTCTCGAGAATGGTCGGATGGTCCACGTTGAATGACAGTGGAGCTTTCGTTTCTCGTGAGGGCATGTTGTGGGACGATTTCGATGACCTCCAAAAGACGAATACAGGCTGGTGCATGGGCCTATGGGCTCATTCTGCTGTGCAATCTTGGTTCACAACTCAGGCTGCTGCTGAGCAACGCAATCACTCACTGAGATGGGCTGAATTTGATGCTCTGCTACCTGTATTACACTGTATGTTCGGCATGGAACTTGTCCATGATTTCGAGCTTCAGATCAACTATGCCAGAGTGGAAGCAGTCAACCGGCCGTATGAAGGAACATGTGCTTGACGACAGCGCCACGCTCTCACAACGGCGCATGAATTTGTGCAACATCACAAACATACGCCGGAGCTGGCTGAGGGACAATTCTCCGAATGTTGACTTTTATGTTGGCAGTGAACGTTACAACACGTTTTACCAGACGCCACAAAGTTTTACAAAATCCGGAGACCTTGGATCGTCATTACCAAGCTTAGTGCTCCGATATCATACTGCAGACGCTGTTGCGCTAGCGGGTGAGATTGCTGCTGGTGAGGCTACTAAGAAGTAGGTTGCTTTTGGATCGTCTTGCAGTGTGCGAAGTGATCGTCTAGCGCCATTAGCACTTTTGAGAACGCAAGGCACGTTCAGGGTAAGCAGCTGCATAGACATGTTCAGCCAGCTCTGTGCCACAGAATACAAAACCTGGACACTTTAGCTGTGAATCGCATTGTCAAGATCAAGGGTCATGCGCAGTCTGCCCTTTTGCCAGACTTGGAATGTTATCACAGCTTGGGTAATGCTGTTGCCGATCGAGCTGCAGACGAGGTTTGTCGTCAGTTGCTTCCAGCTCTTACAGACAAATGGCACACCACTACCCTCAACAGAGAATCGGAAGCTGCTCAATTGTATGAATTCTATAAGCTTTCATTAGATCTTCAGAAACACAGGAAAGACTTTGTGTCTTCTGTTCCTGCTTCACTGAATCCACAAGAACCACATCCCCAGTATCAGGCAGGGGCCATGGCTGCTTTCTTAGCCTCTTGGACCGTTCAGGATCCTTTGTCCTTTTCGTTAGAGTTTGCTCAGCAACAGGCCTTTTTCTCCCATGGCTACTGGGGATCCAGTCTGTTGACCTGTGTTCTGACTTGGCCTCATCCTCTTCGATGGGCGCCCACGGCTGATTCCATACCCCAGGCTGCCATCAGAGTTTCTTGGATGGAACTGGTTCTTAGCTTCATGATTTTCTCCAAGGGTTTTATTCCTGTCCATCGGAGGAACCCTAAGGGGGAGAGCTCCTTTGCTTGGGCCCATTCGCGTGCAGAGGCCACCGCTTTTAGCTACACCTGGAATGAAAGTGCTGCACAATTTGCTCACATTGTTCAGCAAATTATTTCTTTGAGTGGATGTACTGCCATACCTGGTTATGTTCAGTGTGCCCAGGTGTGTTCGTTGTACCGTCAAGGTGCTGGCACGTGCGTGTTCGGCTGGTCTCATCGACCTTGCTTTCCTGCTCAGGCTGATGTTTGCCGAATCGTTGAAGCTACCTTTCGCTAGCATACGAGACCGCTTTCATATGGCTGGTGGCCTGAGATGGAATGTTCTTGGACTCCTTCTGAATGCTTGTATGAGTGGTCTCCACCTCATGGATCCTTCAATGTCCTTCAGAAGAAACTGAAGATGGGCAACCGCCTGGCAAAAGTTGCCAGGGCTGGCGGTTGACCCTTGCGGATGCTACTTCCTGGCCTACCTGTTCTGAGCGATGCATGTTTCTGCTTTTCACGCTTGTCTCCGGTCTGACATCTCGCCCTCTTCTCGCCACCTGCGCTAGGGGGGGCCTCTCTCGCCAAGTAAAAGCCATTGCTAGTAGGTTGGAGGCCATTGCTATTAGGCTGGAGGCCATCGCTGTTAGGCTATGGCTATTAGGTTGGAGGCCATTGCTTTTGGGCTGGAGGCCATTGCTATTAGGCTGGAGACCATTGCTATTAGGCTGGAGGCCATTGCTATTAGGTTGAAGGCCATTGCTATTAGGCTGGAGGCCGAATCGCTTTTAGGTTGGAGGCCATTGCTATTAGGTTGGAGGCCATCGCTATTGGGCTGGAGGCCATCGCTAGAAGGTTGGAGGCCAATGGGCCATTGCTGCTAGTTTGCACCGCCTGAGAAGGTGAATTGCCTCCCAAAAGAAGCATCAACATTATGCAATAAATTGAACCCCCTTGGGATGCCTGAGGCAAGGGGTTTTGTTTTGGCAAGGTCATGATGCACGCCTGCAGAGCATGATCCTCTATCCAGAGATGTTCTTTCCAAGAGCCAGGGCCATTGGTTGGGTAATAGTGAGAACATGGGTGAAATCGTAGCAGAATCTCCTTACCACATCTTGACGCTCACCTATACCAACCACTTCTAGTCAAGCCCCCACCATTGGGTTTGACACTCATCCACTGGTTTGGTGGTGGCACTGAGTCAACGCCTCTCCCCTTCCAACATGATGTCCCTCTCGCCGGTGCCCCATGGGTCTTCTCAGTGCCCGAAATCGCCGCTCTGTTTGACATGTCGATTCAGAAAAACTCTCAGAGAATTTTGGATAGGGCTCGCTGGAGTCTTTGGTTTATCAGCTCCTACCTGCTCCAAAAGCTCTGAGCAGCAGGAGAGAAGACCTCTAGTACGCCTGGTCGTTCCTTCTCTTCGGTCCTTTTCACCTCTGAGGGTCGACCCGTCCATGCCGCGGCTACGGCTTGGCTTTCGACAGGCAACGGCTGGGGTGAGACCATGCAGAATCTGGCTGGGCCGGGCGTCGGACAATTGGTCATGGCGCCTTGGTGTTTGGAAACAGAGCCGACCCCTGGATGTCGGACTCCGGTGTGCAACCGATGTTTGGTGTTGGTGTCCTATGTGGGGTGCCAAGCACTTCGGTGCCAAGCTGCAGGGTAAGTGTTGTATGATACTTAGGGGATGTTTTGATGCAGTTTCCAAGCGTTTCCCTGGAATTGTGTAGTAATTCATAGTAATTCTTTGGGGTGCCAAGCAGGACCTCGCAGGAGAAGGTGGTTTTTGGTTTGAATTATGATCCACTGGTTGCCCGACCGAGCGATTCCTCGAAACCTGGAAGCTGTGCTGTAGAGGTTGTTCTGAGAAGGTATGTGGATCCATAGGGCTGCAAGTGAGATGACGACCACCTTCGACAAGTCTTGGACCCATGTGCTCACAATTTAGGTAGGGTACCGGGGTACCCGCGATCAGCAGGACACCTTGACAAGTGTCACTTTGAGCCATGTCTACCATATACAACAAGAAGCAACGTCATAAGCGGACGATGCAGACCGCTCCCAGATCGCGCGGGAGGATGAACATGCCTCCTTGCCGCCGGCTCTTTTTCCCTCTCTCGCACGCTGCAACGGTTCCATCGGCCGGGCTCTCCGCGGTCCGCCGGTCACGGTGCCGCCGTGTCGGGCCGGGCCACCCAGGTCTTGCTTTGCTTCGGTCTACTGCGACGGGCCAACAGGCTGGGAGTGTCGGTGTTGGGAGTCGGAGAATGCTGCGAGCGAAGCTGGGGAGGATCGAATGAAGGATGAAGGTCAGTGAAACAGAGCCAGATCGCTTTGCTCGGTTGATGGTCAGAGTGAACTGGCACTTCCATGAGGAGACTTTTGGTATGTTTTGGATTGTTTTGGTGCAAGGAATCATTGGGTGCCGCAGTAAGACAATCCTTTCTTGGGAACAAAAGAAGGTGTGACCAGTGTGCGTGATTCTTGTTTTTTATTGGCAGAGCAATATGCCTTGCTCCAATGACTTGGGTGAAAGGTACCAATTGCCACCACTTGGCTCCGCAGTACATTGAAAAGAATGTGATGGCCTCCAACCTCTAGCGATGGCCTCCAACCTACTAGCGATGACCTCCGGCCTAATAGCGATGGCCTCCGATCTAATAGCGATGGCATCCAACCTACTAGCGATGGCCTCCAGCCTAATAGCAATGGCCTCCGATCTAATAGCGATGGCCTCCAGCCTAATAGCGATGTCATGTAAAATTATTTTCTGGTAGTTTTTTCATACATCAAATATTTGTAAGATCACTGCATCTCAAGAGTTTGACTATGTCAAACCTTTCCAGTGTATTGAAGCTTTATCAGCTCCCCCAAAAGAATTCATATCAACATATAGTTCGTTAGTACTGAAAAGACAACCTTCAAGCTTTTGGACCACAATAGGTGCCCCAGGCGTGTCCCCTGGATCCGGCCGGGCTGCACCGCCCCCGCCGCGTGGGCCGCGCCTGGGGAGGGGCGCTGCGCTTTTCGACGTGAGAAAGCTCTCTCTCTCTCTCTCCACAGGCTGGGCGACTTGCTCTTCCATCGGATGGCCGGCGAGGCGAGGAGCACGAAGCCGGCGAAAGGGGTTCCGGGTTCCTCTTTCCCTGCAGGCACTCCATGGGACTGCTATATATGCCGCCCGGAGTGTTTGGGTTTGTTTGACCCGCGAAAAAGCCGTCGTATGCGGACCTCGGATGGTTTGGACTGACTGAGGGTCACGGCGCCGGAACATTCTGGTTTTTACCAAGAATGAACGGAACAGACGACCTAACATGGTCCACCTAGCCGGTCAGGGGCTATCAGGAATTCCCGCTACAGCTATAGCTGCTTCAGCATTCCGAGGACGCATCCATGTGATTGCTTGATGGAATTAAGGGATCCAACAAATTCCCATGTGCGTTACTTTGTTTAAAGAAACCAGATCGTTTTCTCAAAACTGGCGGTTTGACTCGTTTGACGCCACCTGCAAAGTCATCATCCACCACTACCAAAGAAGGAGCAATTTACATGAGTCATGACTTGACTGTTGTGGTTCTCCTTGTCATATGATATATGTCATCATACAGCGACATACAAGGACTTATAACAAGGAGATAGCATGCAGATATGTCATACAACTTGACAGTTGTATACATGATGTCATGCAATGTCATGCATACAGCGGTGTTTCATGGCTACCCATTCAGCACTGGTACCTGTGGAATCCGCTGCTCCCTCCGGTGTGCTTGTTCTCCCGCGGTCCGCGAAAAGAGGCGGATCCCATCAAAAGCGAGGGCCATCCAACAAGAGGCCCTTCCCTGAAATCCAGTCCCAGGGAGAAAGAAATGGTACCAATGGTGTGATTGCTGTACTTAGCAAGTGGTTGTTTAGGGAAAGATCATGAAACATATATGACAGTGACACATCCCAATGTTTTTTGGGTTGCAACGGGGCTTCTAAGTCGGAACGAGAGTTCCAGGAATTCCACTGAGTTGGGTTGTCAAATGCAGCGGGGTCATTTTGGAGGCGGAGGTGACAGGGGCATCCCAGCATCACTCCAAGACTTTGGCAGCCGGACATGGAACTGCTGTTGTTTTTTTATTGTCATGCAATTGTTCCATTAGCCTCCACTACACCCAGCGATTCGACCACCTGTCAAGCGATTCGAGCTTGCGCAAGTGCAGAGTTTGGTGTGGGGGATGTCGCGGTTGAAAAAACGGTACTTTGAGTGAATAGGGCTGGGATAGGATGTGAGAAGAAACATCGTGATTCGATTTGGCAACTGCTGTCAAGACTTGGGAACCTTCACAAAGACGACTTCGGTGTCACGCCATACGAGACGAGATATCGGCCAAAGAGATCGGGTTCATGGGGGATTTGTCCCTCACTCGTTGGTGGTGGAGATTCGACTGGTGTAGTGACTGTGCTGTAACTGTATGTGATGCGGTTACAACAGGCAGCTGGGCGGTTCCAAAGCCATTCCATTGTAGTTGCTCGCTTGACCCATAGTCCCTGTCTGGGGGTGCTTTGGAGTTTTCTCGAACTCCAACAGATCCCAAACAAGGCTGGGCCCAAGCATCCTCTCTTCCAGGCGCCTTCAAGACATTCACTCCCAAAACCACACCGGATGACATCGGCCTTCCCCGCATCGAGTCGAGTCTTTGCTTGAGGCTGCCTGGGTCGACAGCTTCTCGTGGCTCTGCCGCTGGCCGCGTTTGGTGCTGCGTCCGACGCGTTTGGTGGTGGGAAGCACTAGGAAGACGGCTCCAGACCTGCGGAGAGATGGAGATGTCAAGTCTGTGGTGATTGGAAGTGGCAGTTCCTTGGGAAATGGACATCAGAACAGAACCTCTGTTGGTGTGTACGATTCTTCCGGCCCCTTCTGTTGGCCGCTGGGCTTTTGTGACCGCCTGGGGCCACGGTCGTTTTTGGAAGCACCTACTCGCAAACGAACCACATGGAACCTGAGAATTGACCGGTGGTTTCGACCATTTTCCGAATAACAACCCAGTGGTTTTAAGATGCTTGAGGGAGGGATTCCTGGAGTACATCCCTTTTCCGGCTTTGGAAAAGGGGAGCGAGCTCTTGGATCGGTTGGACGTATTTCGTGCTGCGGATGATTCCAAGTCGCCAACCTTGCAGATGTTTTCTTGCAGAGCAATCGAGCTGAGCAATGTAGTAATGAGACAGATTCAGATTGCAATGTGTACAAAATGTGTATAATAAATATAATCAGCTGGCCGGGTGTGTTTGTAGATTGTATAGTGGAGAAAGGGGGGTCAAATCCCGAATACTAAATGACCTTCCTGGTTGCTGGCTTGATAGGTCACCCATGGTTTTGCAGCATGTTGCGCCTCTTGCCTTCGTACTACATATTATACCCTAGAAGTCAAACCACCCTTTGTACCACATAGCCTGAATCCCGAACGGCATCGATCGACCATTGTGTTGCTATAGGGTTTTTACACTATAGCAGATTTTTAACATGATGGTCTTGGACTTCCAGGGATTATACAGGCTACCGATATCGGATACTCTCCCGCAAACGGACCACATGGAACCTGAGAATTGACCGGTGGTTTCGACCATGTTCCGAATACCAACCCGACCGTGGTTTTGGGATTCCATGTGGTCCGAATAGCAGGGGAGTAACTGTCCCATGTGAATCTGCACCAAGGTCATGCGGGTTTGCCTCTGAAGAGCTTGGCCTCACGGATTTGTTCAAGGCGCCCCCGGCAGGTGATCTCAGAGACCTCTGAGATCACCACTTGGCCCGACTCTTCGGTGTCCTTTTGGTTGGCCTGGCACGGACCTGTACAGTGGTTTCAGAGGTTCGATGGCACTGGCACCCCTACATATCATTTAGATGGGGGGTCCATATAAACCACCTGACATTGGGGGGATTGTGCCATCTACTCTGAACCCACTGTACAGGTCCGGGGCTACAGTGATCCCGCGGCTCTATGAGTCGTCCGGACCCCCCAACCCAACCTTCTGCTACTGTACATGGCGTGCTGCTCACGGGTCTTGGAGCAGCCTCGGTTTGTTTGGAAAATGAAGGTGAAGCGTTTTCCACCGCGGTTGACTTTTAGTGGGGTGATGTGGGGTGTCCCCAATTCCCCTAAAAGAAGTTGGGCAGGTGCTTTGCTTTGGCCTGGGTAGGAGGTTGTCCGGACGGCAGGGATCCAGTTTTGGTTGGCCTTACTTGGATCAAGTTACTTAGGGTCTCTTCTTTCTTCATCAAGACCTGGAGGGCTAGCTGCTGATGTGTTTTTGACTCTGACTCTGACCCTTGACAGCTGCCTGATGCCCTCAAAACACATATTTTTTTGATATATACTGTAATTGCCTCAAAGGCCAAAGGGAAGATGTTGTGATGAAGATGCAGCTCCTTGGGAAACAAGAACAGAACAGGGGACTGTGGTAGCACACCTTTTGCACATGCTTTTGGGAGAGTTCATATCAACAATCACACGTTTTGACTCATAGATGAGGATCCATGAGGGTGACTACTGCAGATCGAATGAGTCAAGGATCCACCCTGTGGAAGACCCAGTTTCACGGCGGGCCTTCAAGATCCGCGAGCATGACATGTTAGCTTTCTGAAGGGCTTAGAAGCTAGACCTTGAATCAAATCAATCTGTCAAATATGGTCAAATCGTCCAGTGTTAAACACATACCAAGCCCTTTGCCACGACCATGACTAAACTCTTTACTGGTTTAACAGTGTTGCCTCTCCTATTCAGTGGACAGCCTGCGCCACTCAAAGTCAACAGGTGGACATCGGTGAACCTTCATTTTCCAGGGAAACTGAGGAGTCAGGTTGTTAGGATCTTTGGGAATGCAACAAGTGCTAGCAATTTCATCCTGCAGCCAAATTGCTTCCTTTCACTTCTACTGGTCCACCCGCTCCAAATTCCAGCTGCTCGCCCGCCAACCAACCTACACCTGTATACCCCTAGTAGTGATGGCCTCCAACTTAATAGCGATGGCCTCCACCCTAGTAGCGATGGCCTCCACCCTAAGTAGTGATGGCCTCCAACCTACTATAACAATGAATACTACCGTATACTAATGGTAGGTAGAATTCATCTTCCGGATCCTCCCAATCCCCACAGCCACTCCGGATCCTCTTCATCGCCCCACAGAGGATCTCGTGATACGCCTCGTCGCAGGGTGGATCTCCGATTCCTCAACGAGACTAAGTACTTCGTCAGCTACCACAAGAGCTCCCGAGATTGGTCCAACGATACCCTGTGGCCCCTCGCCCGCAAAAAAGGCACGCGGCGCGCTGCGCAAGTGGCCTGAAAATGGCCCGGAAGCAGATTCCGTCATGGGATTGAAAGGATTTAATCAGGTCCACCTGGAACACTTCTGTTTGAAACCCATTTGTTAGTTGTCATAGGTTTTCATCAGTTGTTTCTTTTGTGAGACACTTACCTCCGGAATAAGTCTTACCCTCAGGCCTAGGGATAAGTCTTTGCCCGTGTCCCAACCGCATTTTGGGACGAACAACCACCAATCCGCACCTCGCCTCGCCGCGGGTGTTTCCAGGCTGGCGCGACACGCGCCACGCCGGGCGTGTCGTGTCAACCACTATCGTTCATAGGGGGAAAGGTCCATGGCCTTCAAGGAAGTGGACTGTTTGCTGCACTCCCTTCGGGTGGAACGCGCTTGGAGGTGGACACAGGGTGAAGTCCACGGGACGTGTGTGTTCCAAGAGTTGCTGAGTTGGATGGACATGTATCGATCCAGGGTGTTCGGAGACGGAAGTTGAAAAAAACATGATGATTCTTCTCATTGAAACTTCAGCACTCGAGTCCAATAAGGTCCACAAGAATGATCCGTGAACCTGGATGTTGTTGTAGAATGGCCATGTAGAACCTGGTCAGCATATGTCAGCAACATGGCTCTATAACTTTATCACTCTTGACGCTGACAGAGAAAACTATAGGAACTCCATACCCGCTGCTGCAAATGGTATACCTCCGTTGATGATGTCCAATGTCATGTACTTGATTCAAGCCTTGGAACCCAAGAGAATCACTTTCGACATGCTTCAACTATTTCTTCCTCACATAGGGCCATAGATGGCCATAGGGTTTATAGGACTCAGTTTTCTCACCTCAAAATGGGCTGTGACGTTCCCATCCTCCCAAAAGAACAGCCCTTCATTCGCAGCTTCGCGGTCCACCGATCTGCTCGGCCCCGAGGTTGGTGAAGTGGATGATCAACTTGGCCTACATCTCGGTCTTGGTCTTGGGTGCGAAGTCCCTGTTGGAAAACCGCGAGCTCGGCGCGGCCGCCCAACACGTCACGTCCGAACACCCCACCGGGCGAACGGAGGGATGGCGTGTCCGAAGCGAGGTTCGAGGGACGAGGGCATAGAGGCGGATGGCGGAACACCGCTCAAAGTGCAGGAAATTTCAATGGTCCGATGTTGAGAGTGTTGGATTGTGATTACTGAATTAAACTTTAGGCTATATTGTTCACAACAACAATCCAAACCATTGAGCGTTGGATGTTTAATTAAGCTTTAAACTATTGTTCTGTGGATTTGGGGGAGAACCGACTCATTGGTCGTCCTCTTTTCCACTGCGTTCGTTCAGGCCTTTTCTGCTTGAACCTGAGCGTGTGTTTACGTCGTGCACCATAGAGCACACCATGACACAGCGGCACAGTGCCAAGGTAGTGTGGTGTGTGGGAGGAGCAGCACCCACTGACCCTCCAACGTTGGAAGTGGATGGCATGGCCCCCCGGAAAAGATCAACTGGTTCCCTTTAAAATCACTAAGGGCTTCTCCACTTCCATCTTTAGAGGGAACACTGAAATCATCATCGAAGATCACAAGGAAGTGGATGGCCGGGCCGGCTGGATTTCTTTATAAACATGAGTTCCGCAGACCCAAAAAAAGAGAGCCTTCCGCAGACCAAACAGGGTGTTGTTCCACTTCCACCATGTGAGTGTGAGTCTTCCCACGGTGCCATGTCGGATGGTGACCGAAATCGGAACCGACTGGATCCAGGTCGGTCCGCAAAAAAGGTCTCCTGAAAATGATAGACCTCAGGAGGTGGCAGTGGAGATTTTGAAATAAATCAAACTTCATATCGATGTAATATGTTTAAAGATTTGATCATTTGCTCCGGGAGCAATGAAGGGACTGGCATCTGGAAATCTCACCCACAAGACGCCAATGCAAAATCCTGCCCAGTCAGTGGTTCACTTTTAGCCTTTTTAGGGATTGGACAGGCGCAATTGGCGGCAACAAACTGTGAAGCTTGATCTTCCAAGGACTCAGGGGTTATGTTCAGTTTGTTTGGTAATTCGAGGGGGAATTCGGTCAGCTCAAAGTTCAATCCACCCTAAGAATCCTTGGGCCCTCTATAGCAGGGGTCGGACTCTCCATAGCAGGGTCTGGACCCGAAACAAACCCTATGCTTTTTAGGGTCCGGATCCTTAGGGCCAGATATCAAATGTCTTTGATTCAGTTGGCCCAGAATGTTCAAGCGAATGATCTGCACTCTTTCAGCACCAATTCTGAACCCTTCCCTCTTAAAACCTTCCCTCTTACCACCTTTCATCACCGACTTCCCAACGGTTCGTCTCGGCTTTGCCAAGGCAGCAGCGACTTTCAATCCGGCGACTTCGTCTTCCAACTGCTCCTCGGGCCCGATCCATCGGCGCCACCGCGTTTGATCATGGGAGTTGGACCGGTGGATGAGCTTCACGGGTCGGTGGAAAAACAACCAAGAGAGGTTGAGAGACCTGATAGGACCCTGTAGTGCTACATATGGGATGGGCTATGGGGCTGTTCAACCTCTCTAGGAATGTGGAATGGGTTTGGCCAGCGAAACCGAAGGTACGGGCTCACGACCAGGGCTGCTTCCGAGCTTACTCGGGGTAAACTCAGAATGTGAACGGCTCCTCACGAATGGCCCTATAGGGCCATAGGGACTTTGGATTCAGTGTGATTTTTGCAGGCCTGGCCTTTTCTATAGTAGATTTTTGCTTTTTTTGTCCAGGCCCTTAAGCACACAGGCTGGCTGGCTCAAGCTCGAGCAACTTGTATATCCATAAATCTTTGAAGAAAGGACCAAATCCACAGAACAGAAGAATTATCATGAATTATCACCATTGCTGCCGACAATCCAAATGGTCGACCATGTTTTTGCAATTTGTTGATTCATTTAGTAAGGAAACGATGGAATGAGTCCTACAAAAGGAATAGATCTGCATCAAACAGGAGGGGAAGGCGGAGGGGAAGGCGGAAGAGGGCAGGGGAAGGGAGGGGAGGAAGCTGGATTGGCCAAAATTTGCTTCGCACGGCAGCGGCCCGGTGGCGGCGCATCTCCAGGGAACTCTTCTGGAGGGTGCCGCTGGGCGACATACGCCGGGCCACGGAGGATCAGCTCGCAACCCACAAGGTTGCGCGGCTTGTTCTTTAGAATATCGCCACACAGAAGCCGACGGAAACAAAATAACCGCAGAAGTCACCCTCAACCCCAGCGGACCCACACACGACCGCAACGACCGCCCAAGCAGGCGTGCGGCAAGCGCTTGCTGGCGCTGTATGCGCTGCCCCTTGGCAACATCTACTGCTGCTGCTGCTGCTGCTGCTACTACTACTACTACTACTACTACTACTCCTACAGTACGACTACTACTACTACTACTACCACTACGACGAATACTACTACTACTACTACTACTACTTCTACTCCTACTCCTACTACTACCACTACTGCTACTACCACTACTACTTTGACTACTCCTGCTACTACCACCACTATTACCACCACTACCACTACTACTACTACTACTACTACTCCTGCTGCTTCTGCTACTGCCACTGCTACTGCTACTGCTAACAACAACAACAACTACTACTACTACTACTACCACTACTACTACTTTGACTACGACGACGACGACGACTACTACTACTTCTACTTCTACTACTACTCCGGAGACGATGATGATGGTGGAGGTGAAGAGCGAGTGGTGCGCAATGTGAAGATCAAAGGCTCCAATCTGATGCTGGCCGGTGGTCATCTCCATCAAGACACTGAAGACGAGCAAGAAGGGCGAATTCTTGTAGGGTCAGAAGGCATGAAACCGGTACAAACATTTTTCTGCTCAAGTCTTTGTGATTCTTAGCCTCATGAAAACAGACAGCTGGAAGTTGAAAGCCATTATGGCGACAGGGTCTTCGAGCAGTAGTAATAGTAGTAGTAGCAGTAGTAGTTGTAGTAGTAGTAGTAGAAGTAGTAGCAGTAGTAAAAGTAGTTGATTTGTAGTAGTTGTCGTAGCAGTAGTACTAGTAGTAGTAGTAGTAGCAGTAGTTGTAGTGGTAGTAGTAGTAGTAGTGGCAGTAAGTAGTAGTAGTAGTAGTAGTAGTAGTAGTGGTAGTGGTAGTGGTAGTGGTAGTTGTAGTAGTAGTTGTTGTTGTAGTAGTAGTTGTTGTTGTAGTAGTAGTAGTTGTAGTAGTAGTAGTGGTAGAAGTAGTGGTAGTGGTAGTGGCAGTAGCGGTAGTAGTGGTAGTGGCAGTAGCGGTAGTAGTGGTAGAAGTAGTAGTGGTAGTGGTAGTGGTAGAGGTAGTCGTAGTAGTAGTCGTAGTAGTAGTTGTAGTAGTAGTAATAGTAGTTGTAGTAGTAGTAGTAGCAGCAGTAGTAGTAGTAGTAGTACTTCTTAGATTACTATGAGGATCAACTGTGATGAATTACTATTGTTTTCTTCAGGATTAAACTTTGCACATTTTAAGACCTTTAAAGCAAATTCATTATTGAGGATCACGGGCCTTCCTGGTCTACTACCTTGAAATTTTGTTCAGGAGCAGTCGTTTCATAAAGGATTAGGGAATTGATGGTTTTGGGAAGCTGTCAGTTGTGAAGAAGAACTATGGAAACCTTTACTTATCGATACTCTCAGAAAGCCAACCATTGGCTTAGTAGTATTAAGAATTGTTATTTCTATTTTCCTAAAGGAAATATACTTAACCCTAAATATTTTTCAGATGATTAAAAATTAGGATCCCCATGAATTTTAGCATATTAGAGGACCCTTAAAACAAACAGGGTGTCAAAAAATAGTTTTCCAAAATTTAGCATTATAGAGGGCCTCATTACTAATCAACGTCCAACATTATAACCCATCAAGTGGGGTCATGAACCAACCACTGGACCCAAAACAACTGCAAGGTCCAGGTGGACTTACAATATCTACAGGTCAAGTTTGGCAACTTGGAATGGAATCCCTTGGAGTTGTTTTGGGGTTCCAATCAGTAGAACGTTGGAAAAACCCTCTGAGATGGGTCATTGTCCAAAGATCGCGCGTTGTTTTGAGTCCATCCTTCTGAGAGACTGGGAGGCTGCAGCCAATGCAGATATGGCACTTGGTTGGATGTGCAGAGCGTTTGCATCTTCAACTTGTTGAGTAGATGGAGAGTCTCAGCGGGTAAGAGAGGTGCCAGTGGCACAAAAACCACAGAACATCCATTGCTCTTGAAAATCGGACCCCTGAACCACAGTAGTATTTGGACATACCTGGCCGATGAATTTTTCACCAACTCCCTGGCCCAGCAAACTCGTGTGCAAACGAGGAAGATCTTCTCCAGCTTCGGTGTGCTGGGCAGCAGGGGAGGGCAAGCAGTTGTGAAGGTCTCGTTTGGCAACTTTGCAATTCACCAGTGTCCCTTAATTAAGTTTGGGATTGGATTACCTGCACCACGGAAAGGGTTGTTAATAGACACCCTGACTGTGTGCGTGTTTCTCTCAGGACTGGATTCCATTTTTTTCGTTAAATTTTTCTTGTGACCGGACCTGGATTTGCGTTTGTTCTGCAATACAACAGCCAGCTATATCCAATTTATACATTCTTAGACTAATGATGTGTCACCACGAATTAAGTATATGTGTTTTTGCAGGTTGCCCACCTCTGATTCCACTCACAGGTGTTCTCCTCCGCCATAAAGGGTCGGTCCACCGGCCGTCGATCTCGGGTCGGGTGACGTTCAGACGGTACGGACGAGTCCGACGAGGCAAATATCTGGTGAAGATCGTCCAGTCGTTCATCAAGATGTATTCCGCCTCGGTGGGATTGCAACAGCTGCTGGGTCGAGATCGAAGTGGGCGAACACATGTGAAAAAGCGCGACCGGCGAGCGACCGGCTGACGATTTGAGGCTAATGAAAGAGGCCCTGAGAATCTGTCATGAATGAAGGTGCTTGAGGCAGTCATGAGGTCATTGGAAAACCACCCAAGTGGTTTTAAACAATCATGTTCAAGAGTTGCTTGCCACACGAATCCGTTTGGGGAGGACCATGGCAGAACATGGCAGAGCAATTTTTCTCCGCGGTCTTGAGAATTGAGAAACCTTACAACGACCCGACTGCCCTGGAGTTGAGGTTTGCGGAGATCATGAACTGGCCCGAACGCTCTTTGTCGCAGTCCACCAAGGAGGGCCGCTGGGACGCAGGAAGACCGCGGGGAAGACGCAGGCACGCACGGGGAAGACGCAGCACCAAGCCTCGCGGTCGTAGTCCACGCTTTCTACGAACGGGGTCAACCTGAATGTTCAACAGTTTAGTGGAAGAACTAGCGTACCCTGCCAAATAGCACCTGGTATGAACTGGTCACTTCGCGGAGATTCCCTCCTCAAGACACCGGCGCAACCAAGCTACTCTCTTTAGAATCTTTAGACATGGGACCATCGAGTGGGGGATCCTGAATGATTCCACGCGTCCGTCTCTTCCCGTGTCTCCAAGGCCGTGTCATGCACGACGTCACGTGCCTCGGAAGCGGAACGCCGCGAGCACTGAGCACTCGGAGAGCGGGGCCACGGTTGCGTCCGATGGTTTCAAATGTGTTTTGTTTGACAGTTGTTGAATCATGTTAAATCAAGTGTTGGTTCGCATGAATGATGATGGAAAGCATGTGTTGTTGTGGTTGTTCACGGGAAGATGCGACTTGAGTTGTTTCACCGACGGTCAGCAATGGTGAATTGGATGTGCACCCCGGTTTTATCTCGCTCGCACGGTGAACAGCTTGAAGCGTCTTCGGTCTCCTCGAACACCGGCGTCGCCGGACTGCAAAAGACTCACGGCAACACGGAGCCAACGTTTGCTCCATCGATTGCCGCACCGGCAAGCGGTTGGGAGAGGACGTGTCTTCCGGTCAATCCGGACGCACCCTTCGATTGGAGAGCAACCAAGCTCCTTGCGGTCCGGAGATCAGATCTTGCAAATTCGGGAGATGCACATGGGGAAAGTAGACGTCGACGTTGACTGACGTCGAGTTTCGCAGATCTCAGGACATCAGAAATCATTTTTGAAACTGAAGCTGAAGATGAAGACCAAGGCTCCTTAGCTGCGGAAGAGTGGGGGGCCTGTGGGTTCCGTGAGGGGTTTCTAGCACGGATTTGCTCAAGCAGGGAGACCTCCCAGGCAACGACCTCCAGTCTACAGGGGGTCTCTCATGCAAAAATACACACTCACTGCCATTCGATGATGTTGAATGCTGCTTGATGATGCTGTTCAGGGTCTACGAGGTCTTTGGGAATGAATTTGGGGTCGGTTCATCCACAACCACCAGGAAGACATGTGTTTCACTGGGTTTGACGGGCAATGAACCACTCACAGATCTCAACTTCATGAAACGCAAGAAAACGCAGGCCCTGATGGAAGACGTCCTTCAAGTTTGCCATCTGTTGATTGAATCGGCCAACACCCACTCTGAGGTTCGGTGTTGTCCATTCTTAACAGTCACTTCCGGATGTCAACAACCGGAACATCCGTCCAGATCAGTGCAGACACAGCTGATGACCCACATTCCTGCCCACCGCAAGACGACAGCCCCCCAGGTCGAGCATTGCCCCTGGTGCCCTTGTCCAGGCCGCCGACTTTTGATGCATGGCCGTTGTTTCGAACCCCTGATCTCCGGCGCATCGGACTCTGGGGAGACTGGGCTGTTGGCCGGAGGAGGTTAGATCATGTTAGATCATGTTTCCCGAGTTTGTGAGTGAACCCCCGAGATGAAGTACCCTGACTGACTAAGGAAGAGGTCTTTTATGTCATGTTCAGTACTTTTTCGGTGGCGAGCTGAAGAGTACCTGGAAGCACCTCCAAGAGCTCTTGCATCACCTGATGGGTCGGGGGAACCCACCGTTTGAGGACCAGGACATCCATGGAGGGGGGGGGTTGTCGTCACATGTCGTCGGCTTCGGCTTCCGGTGGCAACACGCTTCGGCTTCCGGTGGCACGTGGCACGCGGAAGCTTGTACGACTGTGCTCAGGTACTGTGCTTTGTTCAGGTTGGAAGCAGCAGCTTTCACATATCCAAGACAATCCATCTATATGGAATAGTTACACTATACATGGGGGTCTTCAATGGGGTATATAAATGTATGGATGGTTTGAAACTTGCGGCTGGTGGTGGACCGTCAGCCCTCAACAAACTTAAGTGAGAATCCAGAACACATGTGTTGTATGTTCTTTTTAACGAAGCAACTTATTCCTAGGGCTCCGGTCGTACCGAACCTGAGGTTCGGTATGACTGGATCCGCCTGGCATCCGGGCCGCCAGTCCCACCTTCCAAACGAAGGGACGACTGGAGCCCTAGGGATTAAGGGATCCACGACCTGGTTGAGGGTTGAACCACCCATTCAGCGAGCCCTCGTGTAGAGGGTTTGGCAAAATCAGGCTATGGATATGGGCATTGGAAAAATCATGTCCAAAATATGCAGGAGGTACAGGGTTAAGCTGGTTAGCTGTGTTGATCTCGTTTCGTTCTGCATCAAGATCAAGCAAGGAGTTTCTCAACGCAATGAGATATGTTTATACATACCCGTCCCTAGGTGTTCAAGCGCTTTGTTGAAACACACCCAAGCGGTTGGACACCACACCCTTCTCCTACACCGTCATGCCATGATGTCATGCCAGTGTGGGTCTATTCGCTGAAGATCACTGAAGACTTGAAAGGCATGTCATTCTCAAGTGTTTCTTCTAGAGGTGTCCATAGAACGTTCCCAAGCCTATATGCGCACGAACTCCTTGTACCTCATCCAGAATTGGTTTGTATTTCAATAGCATGAACTTGGTGTACTACTTTAAGTATCGAATTGAATTGACTCATCCGTCTTGGTGCCCCCAGCACCCCCAACACCCCAACACCGCACCGCATCCGGTCGCCGTCGCGTCCGTCGCGTCGCCGACGGTGCCGGGCGTCAGGGTGGTGCGGAAGGCCTTGCGGATCCCTTTAGGTCGGGTGGTCCGTGTGACCAGCCAACGAGCGACTCGGCATCGATCCACACCAGCGAAGCGAGCACGCCCGAACGGGAGGGGTGGATCGTCGTGTCCGGATGCGGAGGCCGGGTGGAAACGGGAAACAGGATGTATCTCAATGAGGGACTCTTGTGATCTTACGAACTGACCAAGAATGAAGCTATTATAAGTCAGACACTAGGTTGGAGGCCATCGCTCTTAGGTTGGAGGCCCTTGCGCTTAGGAGTCTCGACGCTGGCGTCCGCTTGGGTCCAGCCGGCGTGCCGTTCTCCACCGACGAGATCGTTCGCACTCCGCCTAGATCTGCCGCGGGTGAGCGGTGTTAGGGATGTGTCAAGTCCCCACGAGTCTTCTTGGGGGGATGGTCTTCACATGTCTTCACACCTGACACTGGCCAATTGCCTCAGTTGCGGCTCAACAAGTGACACGATATCTTCGAGATCACAAGTGTTGCCTGGGAGTGCGTGATCTCCCTCAAAAGATGTTTTATATAGTATGCTCGCTAGTGTTGATGGATACCTCAGTCAGCTTCGGTTTCAACGGTCTCTTCATGAAAACTTCCGTAGCTATTAGTAGCGATGCCTCTTGTTCCCAGTTTTGGCCAGCAGCGCCCCGTTCTTGTTTAAATCAGAGTCGCGTCCGTATACGACCGCTCACTACCGCTCGTCGTGTTGTTGGACGGCTCAGGAGAGATATCTGCTGAACTTCCTCTACCAGGTGCACGATCTCACTCGACCGGGAACCGACTTCGTCCGGCCAAGACCGCGCCGGGCGACTTCGCGAGGAGGTCATCCACCGGCAAGAAGTAGAAAGAGGTGACTGCCACACGGTGTATCTGGTGCACCACACATGCCTTTTTTAACATAATATGTTTTTGGATGTCTGATCCAAACGTACCCTATGAAACGCATTTGAAGAAGCAGAGAAAGTGGAGATTCCTGATCCAAATAGAAGTACCGGTTGTTTTAGGGCATGGATGCGCGTCTGGCGCGGTTTCAACTATCCTCATGATTCCAAGTCCTCATTCTGAGTAGCTGTCAAGGGGGAACACCGGAACCACGAAATTCAAGCATGAGAGGAATGAATCAACATGTCATGAATGTCTAAATTAGGATTTGTGGTGAGGAAGTTGGACAAACACTGCCCGTAGTACCGCTGGCGACTTTCTGCCAGGTTTCAGAGTTGAAAGCTCCCCGGCGCGGTAAGGTGAGGAGACCCCAGGCGGGGCGTCCTGCAGGAGAGGGAGGGAGTGCATGGAAAACTGACCAACCCTCAGGTCCGACCGGTCCAGATCCTCAAACCCTATGTGTTTTGAGGGCCCGAATTGTTGGGGAAAGGCTTATTTTGGATGCTGTGAGGGGTCTTCCAATTTATTACGGTGGCACTGATATTCATGGCCGGAGTAGCTAGCAAACTTTGTTTGTGGCCAGCAGGAAAACATTGCGATTAAGTTATTCTGTGTCGTTCTGGCACTTTCGCCTGTTGTGCTTCCCGTTTTGCCCTGGAAGTTAGTGCCAGAAGAGGTGTCCAAAATGCCACTCAGTCTATACTTGGACAAACTCATTGAACATGCCTTCCAAAAGTATGTCAAAGTACAGTATTATAACAATTCACCCAAACGACCCGAATTTGTTTGGGTCGTTGGAAGGTCCAGGTTGTTTCATGGCCGTGCCACTCCGAATCACATCCATTCGACTTCCGGGATTTCGCTCCATGGCTCTGGATCCGACGGATCCGCCTCCAGGGTGTCCGCATCACGTTTATCCCTGCAGTGGCTTTGCACACGCCTCATGCCACTGTACTGGAGGACGGACCACATGCGGTTTTTGCAGCAGTTGTGAGTGGGGATGTTTTGCGGCGGAGGGTTGGGGGAGGGACCCGATAGAGGTTATTCCTTTTGTGACCCACTGGTGGATGCTTTGATTGCAGGGTATATGGAGAATGGTTCTCCCACCAGCACTCCAAAGGACCTTTAGTTGGACTGGGTGCCGAACAGTGGAAAAGGCAGGTTTGCATCACATCAAACCAAGACCAAAGCAAGCAACCGAGAATCGTGGCAAGACTAACGTTCTCTAAATGTCGAAGAAGCACTCAAGTATGCCAGACGGCAAGCTGCAAGTGGTCAGGGAAAAAACGGCTGATTGTTTGTTCTCATGGCAAGTATTCATTGGACGATTGGGGAAGATACCTAGAAACTTCCGCCGCCCGGGCAGAGAAGAGATGTCGCAGGCACTGCAGGGTTTGACACAACGTTTGATGCAAGAAATCCCCAAAACGCGAATCATGAGAGGAGGACACCTTTTAGGGGTTTGGGCGCGCGACGCGATGCTGATCCACTCGCCGCGCAGAGCAGCCCACTGAGTCAAAAGCACCCGACTCCCAAGAATCCACAGCTCTGGCGACGGGGTGCCTATTCTGACCTTGAGATGCGCCCAAATCGGCCGAGCACTTTGTTCGCCCGAAGGAGTTGAAGGCTGATGTGGAGAAGCACCCAGAGGTGCTGAAGCGTTTATTGATGATGTTGCCTGGCGCCAGTCGATTGTGCTTGTGCAGAACGGGGCAGGGGAAGGACGGGCGGTTGCGTGATTTGGCGAAAGAGACGACTGTCAGTTTGCATACCTCAGGGAGTGGGCAGATGCTTCTAGAGAAGGCCATGGATGGCCCGCTTTTAGATGTTTTGAGCTCAGTACACCCAACTCTTGCGGGGTGGGATCGCCCAACTGCCCCCCAAATCAGAGAGAAGAGTCAATTGATCGAATCATTGTTCAGTCAAGTTGGGCAGTTTCACCGGGGTCAAAGTCCTTATGACATAACCTGGGACGCCTGGGACCATGTGTCTCACCAAAAGCATCCTTAAACTGACAGCAGCGTGCCCAGGGCAAGTCGACAAGTCCCCAACCTTGGGTGGAGAAATGTGGAGAAGCGTTTTTGTTGCTTGTGGTTTTTGCTGTGCCCCTGCTTTGCTCGGATGTAGTTTTGAAAATTTTGTGCTTGCATTCTTTCAGAGGATCCAGACCCAAGATGAATGACTCCAGTCAATTGGCAAGGTTGAACTTGCACCACGTTCCCCAAGGATCACTTGGTGACCAGTGCGAACTAGAATGCATCGCGACACATCGTTCATAGAGCGATCGAGAGGATCCACGTTGTGACGAATCAATCTTCCTTCTCCAAAGCCACTGGGTACTGCTCGAAACATGTCCTTTTCCGGAGACGGATCAAAGAGCACAGAAAGCTAGGAGTGCCCTCTCGCTTTTCCCCAAATAGCCTGTCTTGAATAGCCCGACCCGTATGATATGTCGTACTATACCTATATGTTCCATGTCTTTTTGACATGCTTGGGTGTCTTAGGTATATATATATATATACAATCAGGATATATATATATATTATACTTATATATATATGTGTATTCAGCTCGCCACAACGTCCCAGGTCCTTTGGGGAAACCGTTCGCTCCGATCTCGCTCCGATCTCGCTCCGGTCACCACCCGGTCGTCCTCGTTTCGCGCCGCGATGCCGCCGCAGTTGACGCGAGGTTCGAATGGGATCCGGATGAAACGACGCTCGGAGTGGATGACGTGGGGCGACGGTGGAGAACAAAGGGTTTGTTGACACTGGCAAGCTAACAAAGGTCAGAAGACATGAGAAGACATGGCTGTTGATACCACCAGATCCCAAATCTCCAAGGGTTGACAGACGTCGATCGCTTTTTTTGGATAGATCTAGGGAAACCAAACAACGTACTCTTTCATTTAGCCAACAGTAGAAAAACGAAAGAAACAGTCTTAATGAAGCAGTTTCACCCAGAGATTCTGCACTGAGTCCGTAGTACTGAGAGCAAACTATTTGCTTGCCTAAATTCAACAAGTTGTTTTCCTTTGGCTGCAATCATTTGCAATCCATGGAGAACTTGGGGAAGCTGCAATCACAAATAACAATGGCCTCCAAGCTCATTAAATTAGTTTCAATCATTACTTTACTTAGTGATCCCCACCATGACATTTGTTTTCATGGTGAGGAGCATGTTGCCATGGTCGTGGGCTTTGTGGTTTTGGATGTTGCTTGTGTGTCCTCGGGTTTGGGATTGTTATTTTGATGTTAAGGAGTTTGCGTCGGGGTGTCGCCAGGGTCTCCAGTTGGAATCCAAAAGTGCTACCCTGTCGCCAGGGTCTCCAGTTGGTTGTGTGTTTGTGGCTGTGTGTTTGTAGTTGTGTTTGCGATTGCATGTTTGTGGTTGTGTTTGTGGTTATGTGTTTGTGATTGTGTGTTCGTGGCTGTGTGTTTGTGTTTGTGGCTGCTTGTTTGTGATGGTGCTTGTGCTTTGTTTGTTTGTGGTGATGTTTTAAAATACTGTTGCTAATTCTTTTTGAGAGCTTCATCAGTTCTAACATCTTCTAAACCCATATGACCAACCATTGAACGAGATGTGCTAAATACATGGCATCTAGTATTGAATACAAATCGTCGCCCTATAAATCCTCATCTTCGCTGCCGGATCAAGGTTGGAAGAGCTTCAAGCAGGGCAGCTGCAAGCGATCGCACTGATCCTCGCCATGCTCAGCCACTGGCCCAGCAGTAGCGGTGCAGCGGTAGCGGGTGGTGTAGTGTGGTAAGTTCCGCCGGGTCAACAGCTTGAGGGATGAAGGTTTGTATATGAGAAGGGGGAGTCTGTTGTGATCGTCAAAATTGGGTACATAATAAAACAATAACTACGGCTAGATAAATGGTGCGTTCTCATGCACAGACCTCCTTGATTCTTGACTTGATGGATGTGTGGAAATATATGGCGCTCCAAATCGAAGTCTTTTGTGGACCCGGAAGATGGTTTTTGCTTTGCCCATTTTAAGGAAATATGAAATATGGTTAAGACTTTCGACTGGATTTGCAAATGATGCCAATGGTCTGGACGTTGTTTCTTTGATCAGTATAGCCTTGAGAGATCGCAAAAAATGACACCTAAACCCGGCATGTTTGGACTCCAGCAAGGACCTCCTTTTTTGTAGTGCCGGATGATGCCCGATGTGATTTAGACATCATCTTGGAGATTGATCAAAGACTCCCAAAAGATTGGCATTGATATGATTTGTCAACGGTCAAACTTCATGGCAATCTTCCTGAGGTTCAAGCAAATCAATGTGCAAACGTACACGACTGGTGAACCAGCGGGTGAAGCTGCGCTGCCACAAGTTCTCTGCTCCACGAAAGGGAGGGCGCCTGCAACCCACTTGAACGAATGACCACGCGCTTTCGGACGAGCATGCTGGCATGCGAAGAATCTGAGGCAATCCTGACGTGTTGGTTTTGGATCGGTGTCTTCGATGAATTCATTCGAAGCGAAGGAAGGAAGGATGAGTGATGCCCATCCAAGAATGGGGGCAGGTAGCAATCTGTGGTATGAGATGGTCGTGGCATGTGGTGGCAATCTATCCTCTTAGCTGAGTCCTTCAGACGGGATTTTACGACCAAACCCACTAGTGGCATCCAACCATTTAGCCGGAAAGTTGAAGCAAGATCCAGAACCCAGACACGACCGCCATGGACTGCCAGGACGGACTGCCGCCCCAGAAAGACCCCCTTTCAACCACCCACCATCCCCCTGCGCCTTGAAACTCGGCAATCCGGATTGGCAGTTGTGTCGGTGTCGGTGTCGTCGAGCTGAGCCCTGCTTCGACCGGATCCGATCTGAACATGCGCCCGACACGAGAGGCCATTGGCCTTCTTGACCACGGAACAGCGGCAGAAGATCTTGCTGCTCCTCTCCTTGTGGCAGGAGGGAGGCCTCGCCACTCGGTCTCGGCCACGTCGATGAAGACCATGACGAGGGGGGGCAAGCTTTATAGCTGTCAGGTCAGTGACTAAGAGGAACAGGAAAGGTATTAAAGAAATCCTTTGGCTTTTTGCGCAGACATGGAGCTGTTCCCAAGTCTTCCCCGGAGCTGTTGTGCCTCTTTGGGTTTTCCGGAGACGTCACCCAATGTCTCATCTATTTGGTGGATCCTTCGCTGTTCTGTACCTCACTTGGCGCCTCCAGGCGCTTTTGGGTTCCTCCTTCACACCGACACGTCCGGTATGTTGATCGTTGACCCCTCAAAAAACTGGGGGCCACGCCGCTGAGGAAGCCTTGCTGGCGAGTCTGAAGCCAAAGCCCGAAAGCTTTCCCAAGTGCCCCAAGTCGCTGATCGTCAGCGTCGAGGCAGGAGGGGCTTCGGCGGCGGATGGGCAGGATGGGGATTGGGTGACCCGGGTTGACCGGGCGGGAAGTGGTGGAGGTGATTTTGAGGATGGTTTATGGGATGTGTGGTGATGATGATGATGATGATGATGATGATGATGATGATGATGATGATGATGATGATG